AGTTTGTGAAACGGCAACAGAGAATTCGGAGAATCAAAATAATTCAAATAAAAACACAGGAATAAAAAAAACTAATCTGAAAAGCTAAAAACTGTTTGCATTTAAAAAGAGTTAGACTGAATTAAGTTCGGGAAACGGCAACAGCTATAGAAGTAATTAAAATAAAGGAGAAGCTTAACTGGTACATTGAAGCCTCTGTGTATCATGAGGGGACCTCAGAATCCCGCAGCAGATTGTGGGTATTTTATGCTAGTTAAAAATAAAATAAACGCTTCTGTGATTTTAGTTATGTAAAAATTCAAGAGCTTTAGCAAATTAGTTAATTAATACACTCTTCCTAAAATAATGCTAATTACAATTTATCAATTTCTAATTTTTGATATAATTCTCCTCATTGTCTGTGATAATAAAAACCAAGAAGCCTGCACTTTCCTGGACTTATTTAATTCCTTCTCTTTCATAGAACAATTTCTTAATCTTAAGAAATTTCCTCAATGTACGACTTTAGTAAAATCATTGTTAAAAACATTTGCTGTCCAATTTTTCGTTTTATCTAAACATTTTCACTTCTTCAAGGGGAAAAATAAATAAATAAAAGTATAAAGACGAAAACAAAACACATTGTTGCAAATTGTTATATGGGAAATAAGTTTATGCTTGGTTTATTATAGATTCCACCATATCACGGTAAATGCCACCATGAATTCAGGTTCGCTGCTACTATTAAATCTCTGAAAAATACAAGTTCCGAAAATAAATTCTTAAAGCTAGCACACTTTCAAATTAATAGTTTTAAGTTAACACTACATCATGATGTAATTCACACAATTTAGTATTAATCTATTATAACAACCTAAAAAATTTACTTTATTTGTTTAACTTCTATTTAAAATGTTAAAACTATTGAGATAATAAATATTGTATTCCAAACTTCCAGACTGATAGGTAGTACATTAAATGCACGTGTTTCAAGTTAATATCAGCACAATTTTGAGAAATTATGTCGTTATGAATATGTTAAAAGTATTGTTACGACAGCGGAAGACACGCGACGCTGGAGTTTCTCGAATGATCATGAATTTAACCGGCAACTCTAGTCTGATCGAGACGCCCTCTTTTTAGTATATAAGCCTGGTGAGAAAAACACGCGATTGAACAGATAGATAATTGAGTCATGCGAACAGTAGGCACTGTAAGTAAAGTGTGTAAATCACTGTGATTTATAGCATGT